CTTCCGATCTCCCCAAAACCCCAAAACCCCTTGAGACTCTATATACGTAAAATTGGCAATTTCTTAAATAATGTGTAGATAATGCAAAAACTGAAATGAATAAAAATGTGGGTTTCAGAACTCGCCTCCCCATCCTTTCTTTGTGACTTTTGAGTTATCTAGGTTCCAGGCTGAGTTCATCATAAGCTCGAAGTACTTATCATCATCAATACTCATGCTAACATTGTTATAGTATTCCATCCATTCATCAAGACTAATTTGGCCATCTCTTGAATTCTCATGCTATTGAAATATTTATTATTTTAAAATCAAACTTACATTTAGAGAGTAGTGCATTTCGAAAGTATCAAGGAATTCTCCAAGAATTTCATCTTCAGACCTCTTGCCTTGAATGACATCTGGATGCTTCTTAGCATTATAGACTCCTTTGATATCATCAATGTTCAGAACACCACTCTTATCCTTGTCCATAATGTTGAATGCCTTTTAACACAAGTTTCTTCTAAATCCGTTCATCTCACCTCTCACACCTCTCAAGAATTCATCATAATTGATGCTGCCTGATCTGTCTCTGTCAAAGATATCAAATAGTCTTCTAATATCCTTGTCAAGAACATTGATTCTGAAATCCTTGATAGCCTTTCTAAATTCATACTCATCTAAATCATGTGATCTATTATCATCGAAGATCTTGAATTGCTTCTACAATCCAATTATTCCTCTAGCACCTCTGCTAGCTAATTTAGCAGAAAAAGTCTCTACTAGTTATTGCTCTGAGTAAGTCATGTCAGCCTATGGATTTGGGGCTTTAACACTACCAGTGATGGTTCCATCAGTTTTTTATTGCCAACTTGACGAACCAGCAGGTGGTTAGGTCTAATATTAGCTTTATTATGTTTGTGGTCTCAAACTAGTTGAATATGAAGTGGGTTAGTTATCAATACCATATGGAGCACTCTTTGTAACATTGTATCCTCCTTCTTGATAAAGATCTTTCTTTGCAACATTAGTCCAGCCTGGCTTTCTTGTAGCATCTCCATGAAGTTTCCATGCATTTATCATCATAAGTTCAAAATATTGGTCGTTATCAATAGATGCTGATACATTGTTGTAGTACTCAGTAAACTCTTCAAATGTGACACTTCTGTCTCTGGTGCCTCCATTAATGTTATGATGAGTTTCAAAAGTTTCAATGAATTCTCCAAGGATTTCATCCTCAGTCTTTTTGCCTGATTTAACATCAGGATGTCTGCTAGCATTATATACACCCTTGATGTCATTCATATCAATTACACCACTATTATCTTTGTCTAGCTTTGTGAAAGCAGCTCTAACTATTTTAACTCTGAAGGCATTCATTGGGCCTCTGACTCCTCTTACGAATTCATCGTAATCTATCTCTCCACTTCCATCTCTATCAAAAGTTTGGAAGACTAGCTTGATTTCATTGTCAGTAAGATCAACTCTGAAATCTCTGATAGCTTTCCTGAATTCAGCCATATCAATAGTGCCTGAGTTGTTGTCATCAATAATCTTAAATTGCTTTTGCATTCCAATGAAGCCTCTAGCTCCTCTTGATGCTAATCTATTTCTTAACTTCTCAATAGCTGTATCTCCTCCAACAGGGCCACCTCTCTGTGAGCCTCCATATTAAGAGCCTTTAACTGTGCCTTTTGCAGCACCATATGATGCTTAATTTGAAGTTTAAAAGCCTCCTCTTTGAGATGCTGTGGTTTATGGGCGTTGATTTTATTAAGAAGCAGTAGTTGGTCTGTTATTAGTTTAGCCTCCCTTTGCTTGCCCGTATTAAGATTAGAGAGACTTTCCATTAGCATTGTCACCCTTATCAGCCCAACCTTTTTAGTATGTCTTATCGCCTTCATTGATCTTCCAGGCATTATTGATCATCAATTCAAAATATTGATCGTTATCTATTGATGAAGAGATATTGTTATAATACTCTTCAAATTCCTCAAGAGTCACTACATGATCTGGTGCCTCTGAGTTGCAGATATTATGATGAGTCTCGAATGTTTCTAAGAATTCAAGAAGAATGTCTTCTTCTGTTTTCTTTCCTTGAATAACATCTGGATGTCTTTTTGCATTATAGATATCCTTGATATCATTATAATCAACGACTCCACTACCATCTTTATCTATTTTTTTGAAGGCTTGGAGAACTAATCTCTTTCTGAAACTATTCATAGGTCCTCTAAGAACTCTCACGAATACATCATAGTCAATAGTACCATCTCTGTTTCTATCAAAAGTGTTAAAGAGAGTCATAATCTCTGAATCTGTTAAGTTTAACATCTACTCCTTCATTGCTTTCTTGAACTCGTATTAATCTAGAGATCTGCTATTATCGTCATCGAATATCTTGAATTGCTTGCCCATTCCAATAAGACCTCTTGCTCCTCTGCTTGCTAGCTTTGTCTTTACTTTTCCAAGTACATCATTGACGTTATCACCATTGGAATTGCTGACAGCTGGCTTATACCCTACTCCCTAGCCATATTAATTTGACTTTCTATCCATAGTTCCAGTATCCTTGCCTAATAAGATCGAGGTAAATTCTTTATAGTCTAATGATCCACTTCCATCAGTGTCATAGTAATTGAAAAGAGCAATTAAATCTTTTTGTGAAGGAATAGTCACTCCAATTTTTTCTAGAGCTTTTTTGAATTCATCTGGCTCGCAAGTACCTATAAACGAGATTGTAAATTAAAACCTAGGAAAGTTCGATAAACCTACCATTATTGTCTAAATCGAAATATTTGAAAGACTTTAGCAAGGTGTTTTCTTCAGTGTTATGCACGGTAGCTTTTTATGCTAATTTGGCTTTAAGCTCTCTTTCGAACCTATGAAAAGCTAATAAATGTCTCAAGATATTACTGTGTTCTGATTGACTCCATCGTTTAATATTTTAAGATATATTTTATTGTTATTTTCACTCCCATTACAAATTAAATTTTATTTTTATGGGGTTTTGGGGTTTTGGGGTTTTGGGG